TCGGGGGGGATTTGGGGGTGCGCAGGGATGGCAGGGGAGCTCGGAGGGTGCTCAGGGATGTTTTTGGGTGCCGGGGGGTCCGGGGGCTCCGCTCCCACCTTCGCTCCGGCCGCGGCCCCTCCCGGAAGGAAGCGGGGGGCGGGGCTTGGCCCGGGGCTCCTCCCCGGGGGCGGGGCCTTCCCGTGCCCCCCCCGCCCCGGTTCCCGGTTCCCGGTCCCGCCCCGTGCCTCAGTTTCCCCGCACGCACCTGGCGGGGCGCGGGGTCGCCCGGGGCCGGTGCGGGCCCCGCGGCCAAGCGCTGGAGCCGCTGCAGCGCCCGCTCGGCCGAGAGCCGCGCCTCGGGGTCCGGGTCCCAGCAATCCTCCAGCAGCTCCGGCAGAGCACCCCCGGGCTGCGGGACCCCCCGGCTCAGCGGGGACCCCGGACGGGAGAAACACGCGCGGGGACTCCCCCGAACGAGAACAGCCCCCGGTACCCTCAGCGGCACCGCTGGGCAGCGGGGAGGGAACGCCCGGGCAGCGAACCCCCCAAACACCCCTGGAACCCCGGCAGGGACCCCCGCCTCGGATTCCCTGAGTCACCCCGCACCCCCCTGAGACCCTGTGGGACCCCCGGGGTGACACCCCAAAACAGGGGCAGGGGCACCCCGGGTACCCTCAGCATCCTTGGGCTGCTGGGAGGGGACACCGTGGGCACCCCAAACACCGCTGGGTGCCCCATGGGCACCCAGGTAGGGACACCCCCTTGCACACCCTGCACCTCCCCGGGGTGCCCGCGGGCACCCTTGGCCACCCGGCCGGGGGTCCCGGGGGTTCCGGGGGTCTGACCTGGGGGGCGCGGTGCCAGGCCGGGGGGATGAGCGGCCGCCGCCTCTCGTCCGCAGCCAAACGGCGGAGCTGAGCCCCGGTGGGGCTGGAGCCCAGCTCGGCCTCGTACGCGAGCCGGAACGGCGGCACCGGGGCTCCTGCGGGGCGGGCGGGGGTCAGCGGGGCCGGGAGGCCGCGGGCAGCGCGGGGGGACCCGCGGGGCTCACCGGGGCTCAGCGCCTGGCAGCGGGACAGGATCTCCCAGAGCAGCAGCGCCAGCGCGTAGACATCGGCCTGGCGCAGCGCCCGGCCCCAGGCCCGCAGGTCCAGGCTCTCGTCCAGGATCTCGGGTGCCAGGTACCGCTGGGTGCCCGCCTGCGGGCCCGGGGCCCTGAGCTGGGGGACACGGGGCCACCGGGGCCACCGGGGCCACCAGACTCCCCCGCCAGGTCCAGGCTCATGTGGGGGCGAGGGCTCAGCCCACGCTACCAGTGACATCTCGGGTGTCATCGCCACCCCAGGGCTGTCACCTCCCCTTCCCATTGCCATCCCAGCCCTGTCACCTTCCGGATGGTCACCGCGTGCCGAGCGCCCGCGCTGTCCTGGGCGCGCGGTGGCAGCGCCAGCGCCAGCCCGAAGTCGCCGATGGCGCAGGTCCCGTCCTCCCGCACCAGCACGTTCTGGCTGCTCAGGTCCCGGTGCACCACGCTGGGCTTGTACAGCCCTGGGGGCACCGGGGGTCACGGGGGCACAGGGCACGGGGAGCCCAGGGCAGAGCCCGGAGCGGGGCGACAGGGCAGGGACAGCCCGGGTGCCACCCTCACCGTCACGCCACAGCTCCTGGTGCAGGAAGGCCAAGCCGCGGGCCAGGGACAGCGCCAGGCGCACGCTGCCCGCCCAGGTCCCCACGTGCTGCCCCAGGAAGTGGCGCAGGGAGCCCTGGGGACACGCGAGGGACACGGCTGGGGACGTGGGGCACCCTCCGGTATCTCCCACACATCTCCCCACCGGCCCCCCATCCCCACCCCTGCGCTCCCCGCATCCCCACGCACACCCCGAGCCCCCAGGCCCCCGTTACGCCCGTACTCCCCGAGCCCCCCACACTCCTGTTACCCCTCCGAGCCGCCCAAACTCCTGTCATCCCCCGAGCCCCCCAAACTCCTGTTACCCCTCCCGTTGCCCCCCGAGCCCCCCGAGGTGACCCACGGCCGGGTAGAGCTGCAGGACCAGGAGCCCCCCTCGGGCGCGGGGCGCGGCCGCGCGGGTGTCCAGCAGCCTGGCCACGTTCTCGTGCTCCATCAGCGGCAGCGCGTGCACGGCGCGTTCGGCCGCGAACCTCCGGCCAGCCCCGGCCGCGAACGCCTTGATGGCCACGGGCCGCTGGCGCAGCGTCCCCCGCCACACCGCCGAGAACCGCCCCGACTGCAGCACCTGCCCCGCGGGGACACCGCGGGGGACAAGGGACACGGCTGGCACCGAGTGTCCCCAGCCCCCCGACACACAGGGATTTTCATATCCAAGCACCTTTGGGGGTCCCCGGGCACCCTCAGCGCTATTGTGCCACCCCCGGACTGATGCCCCCTCTGCCATAGGGGTCCCTCCCCATGTGGGTGCCCCCTCCCAGCACCACCTCCTTACTGGCCCTCCCGCTGAGGTGCCCCCGTGGGGTGTCCCCCCCGTTGGGTGCCCCTCGCCCCGTGGCTGTTCCCCCGTGGGTGGCCCCCCCATTGGTGTCCCTCGCCCCACGGGCGCCCCGCACCTGCAGGAAGTCCAGCGCAGGCAGGTCCGAGCTGGGGGGCTCCGGGGGGACCCCGATTCTCCGCTCCCCCCGCGGTGGCCGCCCCGTGCGGGCCCTTGTCCAGCGCAGTCCTGGATGGGGAACACCAGGGACACCCCCATCCGGGGACCCCCCACACAGGAACCCCCCAAATCAGGGACACGGGACCTGGGCACACCAGGGACCAACAGCCCCCCCTCACCACGCAGCGGACACGGGGAATGTGGCATCCCGGGACCCTCGGGACAGTGACACCTCACCCGGGACACCCCACCCCAGGGGGTCACGAGGACACCAGGGACCCCCTGCCGCAGGGACAAGGTGACAAAACACTTGGAGACCCCCCCGCCTCCACCCCGAGAGACTCTGGGAATACCAGGGCTGTGGCATTTGGGGACACCCAGGGGACATCGGGTAGGGAGTGGCTGTGCCCAGGGGTTCCCCCGTCCCGGCCGTGTCCCGGTCCCTACCGAGGATGCCCAGACAGGTGAGGAGGATGAGGAGGAGGGGGCTGGCACCCCACAGCCACAAGGTCCCCGCGGAGCCCCCCTGACCAGGCACTGGGGACAGAGACCGCGGTGACACGGAGCCCCCCTAACCCCAGGTGAGCGGGGTGGTGGTGGGGGACACTTGAGGGGATCCTATGGCTTTCCTAGTCTCCAGTCCGCACTGGGTCCCACCCTCCCCCGTGGGTCCCCTGAAGGTCTCAGGATCCCCCGGCGGGTCCTCCCTGTGTCCCCTCCCCGGGTGCCCCCAACCCCCGCCCGTGCCTGTCGCTGTCGCCGTCGCTGTCGCGGTGGCGTTGCCGTTGCAGAGGTGGCCGTGGCACAGGCACAGGAGCACGGAGCTGCCGGGGTGGCCCGCGGGGCTGGGGGCGCAGGTGGCCGAGGGACAGGCGTCCCCCCGGCCTCCCCAGCAGCCTGGGACCAGCGGCACGGTCACTCGGGGGTGCAGGGGGACCGGGGGGAGCCCCTGTGCGGGTCCCCCCCGCAGCTGCTCCTTCCCAGCGCCGTCGGCTGCAGCCGCTGCTCAAGGCCAAGGCCAAACGCAGCCGCTGGGGAGGGACCAGAACCCCCCCAGCCCCCCCGGCGGGATCAGACCCCCCAGGGCAGGACCAAACCCCTCC